CATTTGAATATATAAACTCCGATTGGGAATCATGCTGTCTCAGTCCTAGCGCTGGAGACATGCCCGTCCCCACTTGCTGCTCCTTCAGGATTCCATGGCACAGGGAGCCATCGCTCCTGGATTTCACAAACAATGTGGAAATGAAAGGCAAGACTGGCCAGACATTCGGAAAGCTGGTGAGCGCTCGCCAAAGTCTGTCTTTCTAGGAGGGGGCTACAGGCAGGAAGGCACCAAGTCAGTGTACACGGGCTGCTGTGGATGCCAGGAGGGGTTAGAACTTAAGAATCAGTTGGAATCTCCTAGAGGAGGCATTTTACAAAGGATTAGAGATTCCACCCCACAGCCAGGAGTGGGACTTCCACCCTATAATATCCTTTTATTCCCTAATAAGAGAGGATGGACTTCTGGGTTCCTCTGTGATGGCGTTACTTTGCCTTTTATTTTTTTACTGGCTATACTCCATCGGACCCAGTGATGGGGCTCATACAAGCTTCTTCATTTACATATAACTGGTACTTTGACTATGTTTACTGCCATCTCTTCCCTAGACTTTCCTTTTCAAAAGTAGCTTTAGGTTTACCATAAAGAGGGATGGTGGGGGGGGAGAGGGAGAAAGAGAAAGAGAGGAAAGATATTGTAGGTTCAGGCTCGAACCCTTGACGGTAGCCCTTCCCATCCCATAACATTGAAACCAGGGTATGTGGGCTCTCTCTCTCTCTCTTTCTCTGTCTCTCTCTCTCTCTGCCTCTCTCTCTCTCTCTCTCTCTCTCTTCCTCCCTCCCCCATCTCTCCCTCTCTCTTAAAATTTGTTAAATCATATTTCACTTACAGTAGCCAAATATGTGTCTATTTTCTGACTCCACATTGGTGGTGGGAGTTGAAATAAGCCTCAAAATAAATAATCAAACAAAAACACAACTCTTGGCAAAGGGCCACGTACTTCGACACACACCAACGTGGGAGCAACCCTTGGTGATACGGGGAAAGCAGCACTCGTCTGACCACCAGGGACATGTCCCGTGGAAGAAGGGAGCACCAGCTTCTCTTACTCTATCAGTGTGTGCTGGAGTCCTTGGAATTCTCCTGTGCTGTTCTCTGTATACGGAGTCTCTGATCCTTGACTGGTCCTCCTCACTGGGAGCGAGCCCGTTGTCTTATGTCCTGGTTCTTTTATTTCACAGCCCGCAGTTATTTCCTGGTTTCCTCTGTCTAGGGGGCAAATGCTCGGTCCCTAACCCACCTCCCCTTCCCTCGACACATCCTTACACATACATGTGCATACATGCATGTGGGCGGGTGTACAACACAGAGCTGTGCAGCTCTCCAGGCCTGCTACTCCTTGACTAGGTCCTATTCCTAGTCTAGGTCTTTAGTCCTACTATGTGCTCCTGTAACACCTGAGTTTCTTTTGTCAAGTTGTTTTCGCACGTTGTACTGAAATTGCTTGGCCAGAGTCTCAGCTTCTCATACTAAATGTGATCGTGCTCACCCGAGTGAGCCCAAGGTCCAACACAGTGCCTGCTCTACTCACAGCCCAGATGCTAAACAAATAGTTGTTAAACTTACAAACTGGGGTCCTAAGGACTTCCAGACACCGAATTATCTCGAAAAGCTCTCAGATGAAAGACTGACTTTAGAGATCAAAGACAGTGATAGAAACTCCAGATGTTGAGGCAAAATCACGACTTACCAAAATATTTCGGCCTTGACTCCCCCACATCCCTCATATTTTAATCTCCCACCCTTTATTTTTATTGAAGAAATAGAAATGGGAGAGGAGGGAGAGGGAGGGAGAGAGTGTGTGCACATCACTGGGTACATAGCATCATCAGGCTGTTTGTGCATGAAATGTGTTTACGTGCAGGTGCACTTGAGTGCATACACACACGTTTGAGCGACCTTGTGGAGGTCGGAAGTCTAGGTTGGATGTCTTTCTCAATTATTCCCTATCTCACTTATTTTTATACATAATTCCTCCCTGGCCATACAGCTGACTCTGCTGGACTATTTGGCCAGCAAGTCCCAAGTCGGAGCTCCCCCGTTGTCGTCTCTCCAAGGCCTGGATCGAAGCTGTGCGCCACAGTGCCTGGGTTTGTCTTTTGTTTTTTACATGGGTGCTGGGGATTGAACTTGGGTCTCCTTGCTTACTCACAAAGCACTTTACCCACTGAGCTACCTCCCTGGCCCTCATTCGGTTGGTTTTAAATATCACTGATCACCTGCCGATTCTGTCCATTATGGGCCGTGTGGTCTTTGCAAAGATGTATGTGGAACTTTGTTGTCTCATTTTTAAAGAAAAGATGGTCTCAGATTCTTTGGCACTATTTCCATGTAGAGGTAGGACCGATGTGCCTGTCTTCCCACTTGGGTCTGTGTGAGTGTGTGCTGGGCCATTAGCATCTGATAAAACAATGCTATACCAGATTCCACACACAAGCTTTAAGAGATCGGGTCCTATTTCCTGTCCTCAGCGTGTTCTCTTAGGAGAAGTCAATGTGTTCTGAAGCAGCCGGAGCTGCTTCTAATCGAAATGCAGACGTGTGAATGAAGAAGCCACACTGGATGGTCAGCCAGAAACTTCATGATACCTGCCATCTTTCACCGGGAGAGAGTCCAGAAAAGAACTGTGCCATTGTGTCTGGACAAGGACCATAAACCAGTCTGGGGGGTGGTTTATGGAGCAGCAGAGGGAACGGCTCCTAGAAGTGATGATAGTATCTGCCTTATCATCATAGAGTAATATTGCAGAATCGTCCTGCTTCGGGCTTCAGAGTGAAGGGATTACACAGTCACTTTCTTGATAACCTTAGATGTAAAAGGTGAAATTCCTTTCCTATAGTCTGCAATAAAATGTCATCTCTCCTGCCCTGATCCATCCTTCTTTTTCCTCCTCCTAATTTGGTTTCTTTTTTTCCTACAAATTTGGGTTCCCAAGAAGTGATAACTGCTATCATCTGAGGTTAACTAGACGCAGGTGGGGGCTACTGAGTGAATGTTTTTTAAGTAACTAACACCCCTCCCTCCCTTCCTCCCTCCCTCCCTCCCTCTCTCCCCCCCCTCTCCCCCCTCCTTTCTCCTCCACCTCTCTCTGTGTTTTAAGTACAGCCAGTTCATTTTGACTTAAAGTAAGTATACTAAATTCAGCGTTCATGATGCAGACAGAAAGATCACTGGTCTGGTTAGTCCCGCGGTAATGAAAATGAAGCACCAGAAACTAAAATGATTCAAAGCAAAATTCCCCGTGAGAACTTTTATCACGTCTCTGTGTGCAAAGAGCAGCCGAGCAAACATTGTGGATCACGTAATTATTTCCCATGTAAACACTAGAGAATTGCAGGCTGGAAGGCCGGGGGCTGAAAGATGCGTGCTACCTTAATTATAACTTTGCTAAGTTTGATTTTATAGACCGGCAAAACTCAAGTTCGATTTAAACCACACAGAAAGACATGATGCAAATTGGACATGCCCTTTGTCCCTGACTCAGACGGTGACCAGTGTTCTCCCTAGAAGGCAGCCTTTGACTGCGGTCACTGCTCAGGCTGTTTGCCCCGCCCCCCAATCTGCCGCTCATCCTAGGAGACCTAACAGGGCAAGTCGACATAGTCTTCCTAGTTCCTCTCTGATTTCGTCACCCCCTCAAACTGTTAATGGATACAGAGTTTGTCACGGTTTGACCAGTATAGGATGGTAAATTCTCTTCAAATACCTGGTGAATACAGTCCAGAATGGAAGGTGATTAAACAAGAAACAGTGTGTAGAGACTGGAATCAGCTTCTTTTACCTTTCTACCTTTAATGAGGATGTACAGCTTTGCTGTCTTAGGCACCAAGATAAAAGGCCCTGAGGGTTGTAAGGGCGGCGGTGGCGATAAAGTAGGTTGCTGAAGTTGGATCTGGCCAGCAGTTGACTGCGGTTTTCTCTGATGGGGTACTAGGTTTTTTTTTTTTTTTTAATGAGTGCTAGACCCCCTCATCTTCCTTGGCCTCAAGCCACTTTTAACCCTTGCCTTATGACTAGACTAAACGTGGGGCCCTTCTGCCTCCCGGTGAGTCCAATCCACAGCTGCACTGACTGCTTTTTTTTTTTTTTTTTTACCTTTCACAGCCCTGGGAGGAGGCGTGACTGGGTTAGCCATGCAAGCTTGTTCTAGTGACTTTTGGCTTGGCTTTGCCTCTAGGGGTGCAGCACGCGTGCTTTCCACATTGTGCGCCTTCTCGTGAGCTTGCACTGTTGGCAAGCACTAGAACAAAATGGATAGTTTGCCCCAAAGACAAATGCCACATTTTAGGTCAGGGAGAGGTGTCTTTGTTTACGAGTACAACGATGGGGAACATGTATAACCCAGGATAAAACTTTGAATGTAGCTAAGTCAGTGCAATGGTGTCCCCAGCGCACGAGCAGCACACAGGATAGGGCCAAACAGGGCAGTGACTATGGGCCTGTGGGGTCCCCAGCAGGTTCTTTGGGGTCAGAGGAGAAGGCAGTTGGATGTAGGCAGTGGTCAGAGAGGTTAGGGGACCTGGGACCCAATTCAGAGAATGCCGAGGGACTGACCTACGGAGGCTCAACGGCGAGGTAGGCAGACAAGGGTGGGTGCCCCTAAACCCACCGCGGATCTGAGACCCCCGCAGACATGACAGGTTTCCTACGAAGGCAAGGACAGATTCCCCTTATGCGGACCTGAAACCCAGCAGACATGGGCAGATCCCCAACGCGGATCTGAGACCCCGTGACCCCGCAGCCACCGGTGCGGCCGCGTGCTAGCGCAGCGGGAGCCGGCTGGGTCCCGCACGTTGCCACCCTCACGCCGGGCGCCCTGTTTTCCTCGGATCTCACGGGGCTCCGCACTCGCTCTCGGCTCCAGTGGGGGCGCAGCCTCGTTGTGGAGGCCGTGGGCGGGGCCTCGAGCGGGGCGCCCGGAGATTGGCTGCTGGAGTGGAGGCGGGGCCTGGGCCGGAGAAAATCCGCGCCCGGGCGGCTGCGGTCCCAGCCGCGAGCCGGAACCGCTGAGCCTCTCGTCTCCTCGCGCTCTCTCCCGTTCCTTCCAGTCTCTGCTCGCGCGGTGTCCGACCGGGTACCCTCCTCTCCTTGCAGCGCGAGCCGTCTCCTGTCCTGACTTTCCTCCCCGCTCCGTGCACCCCCGGCCGTAGCGGCGATGCGCCTCATCCAGAACATGTGTACCATCGCAGAGTACCCCGTCCCGGGCAGCACCGCTGCCGACTGCTGCCTGGGGGCTGCGGGCCGCCGGCTCGTCAAGATCGCCGTGGTGGGGGCCAGCGGCGTGGGCAAGACCGGTGAGTCCAAGCGAGGAACCCGCTTGGTCGAGGGGCGGGACCTGGGAGCCCCCCACCCAGACTGGAGATGAGAGAGGTGGGCGTTGCAGCGGGATCCTCCGCCCCTTCATGCCCCTGCTTCGACGGGAGAGGGCCACTGGGGCCCAGTCTGGCCCGCCGACTACCAGATTAGAACTTTGGGGCTTTGAGCTTCTGGCAGGATCTGGGTCGGAATGGGGAGTTAGTGACTGTAACCCCTCCTGGAGTTCCGTAAGGTAGGAAGAAGCTCGCCTGCTGCAAGGTTTAGGTGTGGCCCAGCTGGGCTCCCCGGAGGGGCTGGGCCTCTAGACCCTTTCCGCTGTCACAGCAGTAATTCACTGGTTTCTGTCTTCTCGCTTCTGGCAGAGGGGTCAAGTAGCTACAGGATAAGAATTTCCCTTGGTGGCCGGCTGTGACTTTCTTTGGAAGAGTTGTTTTCCAGGTGGGGGTGGGGCGGAGACCCATCTAACTTAGTAGCTTAACGATCGGTCTGTTTTCTTTTCTGAATTGCAGCTCTGGTGGTCCGGTTCCTCACTAAACGATTCATCGGGGACTATGAACGAAATGCAGGTGAGGAAATGCACTGAGACAAAGCCTGTTGGGGTTGCTGCCCTCCTGTCTCAGTACCTTCAAGGACACTTCCTTCAGAGTGACAGTGTTTAGCATCAGGATTCTGCCACTTCCAATTCTGCCCGCGCTCTCTCCCCCCCTCCCTCCCAGCTGCCATCTGGCCTCATTCCATTCCTGGCCCATTCATCATTTTATCAAGTGCCTGAAAGTATTCCCTGTGGTATGTTTTAACTATAGGGACCCCAGTTGGAAGCACCCTTTGTACTCCAAGGCCTTTTCCTTTAAAACATGCCTGCAAAAGTCATAAAAAAAAAAAATAACCCAACCAAACAAAAACCCCAGCCGCGAGCTCCTCCCCCCTCCCTCTGCTGGCTGCCTTTCAGGAGCGACCTTTTAAAGCAAAGGCCAAAGCAGTGCAGTTGTAAGCCTAAAGTTCTTTCCTTAACAAAGAAAAATAACTGGCTGCCATGATTCTAGCTGGGAGAGCCCCTGAACAACGAGAAGACACACATTTCATTCTCCATGATTGAAAATAGCCACTGTCCCAGAAGGCTTCAGTACTCTCTGACTATGCCCTGCTAAGCAGATTGCTTAAGTTAAGTCGACTGCATGCAGTACCCGTTGGGGACTAATTGGAAGGAGCCATGTAAGCCGTCCCAAGATAAGACATGGTGGCCTTCTGCTCTGACAGCTGATCGGAACCCCAGTGCATGTTCTTGCCAGGGATGCTAACTGTGCATTTACTAACCATGTTTGCCTACGAAGCTGTTATATCCAGCGGGCAAAACATAACTGTTCATAGAATGATACGATGATAAAGTAAAAACAGAAATCCTGTATATAGTGAGCCAGAAACTTCCCTCCAAGAAACTACTCTAGATATGGAAACTCAGTTAAAATTAGACCAGCAAGTTTCTAAAAACCCACAAACTTTGACCTACTTTTGATAAGTCTACCAGCAGGGGCTTAAGACTACACTTGGCCTTTAAGCAAGATCTGAGTTAAATTGAAGTGAATGACATCTTTTTCTTGTGTGTCTTGGTGCAAGCTGTGGTATATTAAAAACACACACACACACACACAAAACCCAAACTGTAATGTTTCATGCGGCTGCACGTGAAAGAGGAAACATAATGGCCTTTTTTTGTCCTTCTTAGGTAATCTCTACACAAGACAAGTTCACATAGAAGGAGAAACCCTGGCCATTCAGGTCCAGGACACTCCTGGCATCCAGGTGAGAAGCTGATGCTGACTGGGCCAAAGCAGCCGCTGGTGGCTGTGGAATTGTTCACTTGTTGTTAAGGTGAAGGGACAGGAGACGTGGGGAGTCAGGTCTAGACTTTACTTGTGGTATGACAGTTTAATTGTACCTGGCCGCAGGTCAGCCTTAGCCTGGCTTAGTTTGGGGAACTGGGCGAAGGAGGGGATCCCCTCCTGTAGGAGGGGTCACTAGGGCAGGGGGAACCGAACCAACCCTTGGGATTGGCAGTAGTTCCTTCCTTTGGTTTTTATTTATGTGCCTTTGGCATCAAAACCCAAATATTCGGGTCCAGTCTCCAACACCCGGAATCACTTTTATGTTGTGGAAAGTTTCTCTGTAGACAAAAGAGCTCTGCTGGGATTTTTTTTCCTTCTCCGTCCTGAACTGGGCAGTTATCCAGGTTTAAATGCTTCCAGCTTCTATCTTCCCCAGACTTACTGTCTAGCCAGTTAATTTCCCATTTTGTGCAACTACAAAGTCGCTCTGCGTGGAGGTCTCTGCAGGTCCATTTTCCACTTGAGTGTGGTGAGCTGCCCTGTTATTTATTCCCTCAGAGCAGCTGCATCAACATATTGTTAAGAAAGCTGAAGTGTGTGGGGCTAGAGCTTGTTTACGACCCATACCCACCATCCCTATGAAGGGTTCTTTTGAAGTGAGGCTGTGCGGGAGCCGGAGCTCTGTGCAGTGCCCAATGCTCACCCTGCTCTCCCCTCTCCTCAGGTGCATGAGAATGGCTTGAGCTGCAACGAGCAGTTGAATCGTTGCATTCGCTGGGCGGACGCCGTCGTCATCGTTTTCTCCGTCACTGACCACAAGAGCTATGAACTCATTAGCCAGCTCCACCAGCACGTGCAGCAGCTCCACCCTGGCACTCGGCTGCCCGTGGTGGTTGTGGCCAACAAGGCTGACCTCTTACACGTCAAGCAGGTTGACCCTCAGCTTGGTCTGCAGCTGGCCGGCATGCTCGGTTGCTCCTTCTATGAAGTATCTGTCAGTGAAAATTACAACGATGTCTACAATGCTTTCCATGTCCTGTGCAAAGAAGTGAGCCCCAAACAGCAGCCCAGCGGCACCCCCGAGAAGCGCAGAACCTCCCTCATTCCCAGACCCAAGTCACCCAACATGCAAGACCTGAAGAGGAGGTTTAAGCAAGCTCTGTCTGCCAAAGTGAGGACTGTCACGTCTGTCTGAGGCACGACTCCTGGAGGGGGTTTGGTCTTCTGGGCAGAGGGCCCGAGGTTCTTCTTAGATGGGACCATTACAGGCTGATGGCAGTTCATGGTTCCAGAAGGAGCAGTGGCAGAGGGGCCTAAGGGGCCTTTGGAATTCTGCAACTAAGGAAGTGAGGGCAGACGGACGGATATGGGACTGACCTGCCCAGTCCATAAAGTGGGGATGGGGATGCTTTTGTTCCTCACTGCCTCATAAGTGATGGTCAGGTGCACCAAATACATGGACTGGGATGGGGAGAACACAGAGAGCATTCACGGCTTTTCTCCCAAGGGGAAGGTTTTCTTTTCTCAGTGACTCCAACATGCTCTCTTTACAGGATATCTTTCTGACTTGAAGGATATCCAGATTTCTTTAAGAATCAAGGAGGGACTCTCCCCACCCCATAAAGGTCAAGTTTTAGACCAAAATATTCCGTGTACAGACACCTGTGAGCTGTGGTCTGCAGGAAGGTGCCGGATCTCCTGACACAGAATGGGTACAGGTGTTGAGTAGCTGTGAAAAAACTCACCCATGGGCTGCCCAACTGTGATGATGTATAGTCGTGTGTATTTTTTTTTTTTCTTTAAACCGTGGCATCAGGTACAGAAAAAAGTGTTAATTGATGGTGGTGTTGATGGTGGTGTGGTTTGTATAATTGACCCATGGCAATGACGTTGGGTTGCATCCTGGGCCTGGCTGAGTTGTGGCTATGGGCGGCTGAGATACTTCAATGCTGTCTTTAAGAGTGACCAGATGCAGGGCTACCTGCCAAATCCCCTACACAGATGCACTTTAAGAAGCCATTTATGCTTTGGCTCAAACTGTAATAATTTATTTTATGTACAATAAATCTCTCATTTGATAAGAGCAGAGTCTGACTGGGTCTTTACTGAAATGTTTACCTTCTTCCTCCAGGAAGCGACTTTTAGAATCCTGTGTTTACTGAGCAAGTTGAGTCAGAGAATATTCCTTCCAGGAGCTAATCTCTTATGTCTTACAACATGTGATCAGTGAGGTCCATTTTATTACCCACATTCTACACAGCACAAAACATCCTTGCAGAACAAATTCAATGACACGAAGTCTACAACCTGCAAACATTGTCACTTGTAATTTGGACTTTCTAGTCCAGAGTTGTGTCTCAGTTTCTTCATGATCTTCTGGGTATACGTAGAGATAGCTGTCTGTCTGTACATCACAGAAGAGCTGCTGAGGGGATGAATGCCTCCACAAAAGCATTCATACGTGATGTACTTAGTGAAGCTTTTTTGGGGCATGCTATGTCCCCAAGCTACACTTTATTCTCACAGTAAGAGCTTACAGCCATTGGTCTGCAACTACTGAGTAGCTGTTCCCGTGGAGCTGTCATCACAAGTGTACACAGCTGGCTGGCCTCTCCTCTGCTGCCACTGGAGCCCAGAAGACACTGCCTGCGAACTCAGTCACTGAGTCTCCATCTCTGTGGGCAGGGCATCATCCTTCTATCTAGACAGCACCTTCCCGATTCTTCTTGGTTCATTCTTCAGATAACCCTGTGAGGTGGGGTAGGGGAGGGCTAACACAATTTCACAAAGAAAGCAGGGTTTAGGTTTTGAGAGATGTCCTCAGGCTCTCGTAAAGGAACTCGGTCGGTGTGTTGAGTATTCAGTCTTATTTCTTCACCATGCCGCATCTCTAAGATGCATTCTGCTACAAAGGTAAGGCAGTGGGGTGTGCCGGGAGTCTGTGGTGATAGGGACTGGGCTATTTAAGCTCATTTTCCCAGGGGACCATCTGACTGCTCTTGACAGTGACATTCTGCTAGTTAAGCTTTGTTATACATAGAACTTTTTTTTTTTTTAATCTCTTCAAAGCTAACCTAACCTCACCCCTGAGAAGGGAGTGTTTTGGCAGCAGGGTGGGAAGTGGTACCTACAGACAACAGAGACAGTACAAGGGCAGAGACAAGTATCTCTACCCACTCTGCTTGTCTTCCTTGCTCACTGACCCTCGCTCACCTGTGTTCTGCAATGGGAGACAAGATGCTCTGGAGAGGGTAGATTTTTGTAGCACAAGACCAAAGAGGAGCTAGACTTACATTTCTTACTGCCCCCTGCCCCCTCTTCCACACCACAGAACCACAAGCATCTCTGTAGGACTCTGCCCAGCCTCTGCAGCCTGGTAGCTGTGCCCTGGGCCTTCTCATCTCCTGCCCTTGGCACCAATGGCTGCCTCTCACCTCCTGACCACTGTGCAGACTCAGCTCTCCACTTCAACTAGGCAGGTCTTTCCGCTACAGAAGGATGAAGTGGAGAGAAGGCAGAGGAAGTGATGTCTGGGAATCTCAGGCGGGAACAACCCCAGACCTAATCTAGGCCACCGTCTCAGGTGGGATTGACTATTCGTAATTCTAGAACAATTGTGTTTTCAGCGTGAGCTTGATCTAATGTTTCATTACTCTCTCGCTCTCAGCACTAGCGTCTCTCCACTTACCCTCCCCCAGTGGATGTCTACAAACTCTGGCCTGAGACACAATCTCCTCTCCCTCTAGGCAGGGATATGTATGAGTCTGATACAGAGGAGGAGAGGAATGAGGGTTTATTGTGTATTTACAACATACAGACTGCACATGCCCTCCTTTAATCTTTGGGACACTCCTGAGGGAGGCTATATCATTGCTACTTTAGGATGAGAAAATCAAGGCCTTGAGATTATGCTAGCTTAGGGCCAGCCAGTAACAGCATCCTACTTCGTTTACCATCTGGGTACCAGAAATAGATGTTTGAAACAAGGACATTCTGCACACTAATGCCACCCTCTATCTTTAGTATCCTATACAGGGAAGGAAGCAATTGGCTGGGCTCTCTCGAAGCCAATCCTAGACCCTAACGAGGCCAGAGTTTATGCCCCAGCCCCCATCCCAGACCCAGTAGCAGCTCTGGGCCTTTTCTGACCAATCAACCTACCTCCCTGGTCCCACTAACCCAGCTTCCTCCACCTCCCTTCTGCTACTGGTTGGGTTACTGCGTGGCCCCAGGGTTCCTGGCTAGTGGTCCACATCTGCTGTTGCCATTAGCCCCAGGCTGCTGGCTGCTCTGGCCTCCAGCCCCCTCGGTAATAAAGATGCCCAGGTTGGAGGGGCTGCCTCCCAGCCAGTCTGTCTCAGAGCCCAACCCACGGCTGTCTTGACGTCTGGCTCTCTAGTTTCCTCCCAGCCTCAAATCAAAATTATTTGCAGCCCTAGGCTGGGCCTGGCCTGGTTGTGCAGTGGTGGGGGAGGGGGAGAGATTGGAGGAGTGGTGGGGGTGGTGGGAGGGAGGCTGTAAAACTGCCTGCCTTCCTCAACCAGCTCCAGAAGGTTTGCCTGACCAGCAGCTCAGAACCCCAAGCTTTAGGGGCACTGGCTGTATTTATAGAGAGCCCCTTATTTATCAAAAAAAAGGGAGGGGGTGAATTTCAGCATTAATCTTTTACCACAAGAGGGAAAAGATAAATCTGGGCAAGGGAACAGTTGTGGGCAGATCCCCACGATGGAGCAGTTGGCACACTGTGGTCTTGCTTAGCAGACTGGAGATGGCGAGTACCCAGCTGTGGCAAACTCCCAGAACCTCTGGGTAGGGTAACAGCCCAGAAGGGAGGCACTTGCCTGCTTACATTAAAGACCCCAGAAAGCTGTCTGGACACTCCTCTGGAAGCCCCCCAAAAAAGACAGTTTCTGTGAGTTCTTAATTGCCCTCATTTAGTTCCCAAACTGGAGAAGAGAAGAGACTAGTGTTGTTAGTTAGAAGGCCACACTCCTGCTCTTCTGACACGGCCTGCACCCCCTCTACCATCTGGTTTTCAGAAGTTCCTTTAAGAGCAGTGCTGGAGCTTTTTGATGTTTCTTGGGCAAGCCAACAGACAGCATTTGTAATATTGGGTTATTTGTTGTTGAGATTCCATTTCTGGTAACCAGGGTAAGAAGAAACACTAGTGGTCTGGGGGACAGGGTCTGGAATTCTTTGTTAGGGAAATACCACTGTAACTGTAGGGACCTTGGCACAAACAGCTATCTGCACAGGGCCTGACCCTCTGTGTGGAACACTTCCAAACACTGATTGCACTCTTTGTTTACAGGGACGGGACTCCAAAAGGAGCAGACCTCAGTTGCCACAAAGCGTTTACCCAGCTCTCAACTGTGTATATAAAAGGTAGCTGCAGGGCCCTTGGCTGCAGATTGACCTGTGTATGATTGCTTTGGCTTTGGCCAGCAGGGTTTAGGTGGTAAATATACTCAGGTCTGAGAGGCACTAGCACTCAGCTCCTTAGCTGGGCCTTTGGTGTCACTTTCAAGCGGCTTCCATAAGGGGTCCAGGGGAGGTCCCTTTAAAACTCTTACACCTAGATACCGTGGGATGGTAAACGTAGACGTCAGCTCCAGAACACATAACTGTTTTCTGGATGACGGTCTGCAAAGGCATTCAACACGAGTAGTGATGATGCTTAGATATTGTTAGCCTTAGATAGGAAACATCTTCCAAAGGCTCATGGGTCGAGAACTTGGGCCTCAATGCAGTAACACTTAGAGGAGAGGTCCTGCGGAGGAGGTAACTGGACTATGAGTGGTCTGATTTCATCAATGGACTAACTGAGAGAGTCCCTCCTTACTGCAACACTGAGATTTAGTGAGAACTTTGGAAGACTGAACTTTTCAGAGGAAGTAGGTCACTGGGCCATATCCCGAGAGTATGTATTTTCTCCCTGCTCCTAGCTCCTCCACAAGTTCCTGGCTGTCATGAGTCAATATTCCCTTCCACATATTCTTTATCATGTATGTTGTTCCACCTCAGCACGGGCAGAGAAACATCAGAGCCAAGTGTCTGTGAACTGACACCTCCAAGACTGTGAGATAAAATCAGTTTTCCTCCTGGGAGCTGGTATTCTCAGATATTCTGTCTCAGTGACAGAAAGCTGGCATGCTTTAAGGGGCATTCCTTGAGCAGCATATCCTGAGCCGTATTCTAAGTATTAGATGTGTCATCACTCTTTTAATTCGTACTATTACCCAGTGTAGCATGGCCTACTGGCATCTAATTTCCTGTTCAACCAAGACTTGAACAAATGAACTACCAGATTTGGGGAACGTGTTCCTGACTGACCTTCTGGTTAGATGGCCTTAGCTGAAGGAAGACTTTATTTATTTCCTCTCCATTTTATTTCTTTGCAGACATTCTTCTGACATCACTCTTCACTTACTCCCATTGTCCTGCAGATGCTTTGTCACCCTGTGAGGTAACTGACTGGTGCCCTCAGCAGTAATATCCACACTTCCCGGAGCCATCCATGTACCAGCCATCCTATTAGAGTTAACTTCCTAGCATCCTCTGGGAAGGAGGCACCAGTATCATCTATTTTATAAATGTTGGTGCATGCTTGGATAACTACAGTGCTCTGAGAGGTGTAACTGGGACATAAAGTCGGGGAGAACCCTAGAGCCCTGACCCATGGCTCTTTCACATGGGCAGGGGCCTTTTTAGCATCCCCCTTAATCCTTCCCTCATCTAGAAAATGAGCACAAACCTGGAGAGTGCCCAAGCTTGCCATAGGCCAGTGCTTCACTGCCTGAGTGGTACTTGTTCTCTTACTTGTTAATGGCCACTGGTGGGACCAAAACTGAGTTTGTATTACATTCCTGCTGTTTAATGTCAAGGACTGGGGTTCTCTCTTGTTTCTCAGGTCTTCAAACCAGTTATCTCTGTTATCATCAACTTCCTCCAGCTCACCTGTCTCCCAAGTGTTCTATCATTTGACTGTCCAGTTGGCCCAGGTCTTGAAAGACCAGCAGCCACAGACATGAAAAAGAGTGATTATAAACTCAACTTCTCACACTTCTCTCAACTACTCAGACA